CCCGGCGACGTCGGAGGCTGTACCACAGACCCACGCGGCTCCCCCACTCAGCGCTGCTGACGCGCCGCCCCCATCCCTGGCTCACACCCCCGCCGCAGTCCGCTTGGTGCGGGACAGAGGCGGCCAAGACAGAGGAGCTCAGGAGAGCAGGTGAGAGACCTGGGCAGGCAGGGAGGGGCGCTTCTAGGCACTGACTTTCTGGGGTGTAGGAGAGGATAGCGGCCGGGAGTCCCCCAAGTCCCTAGCACCCACGGCCGTCACCGTCGGGGTCATCTCGACTCAGCAGCCTGGGCCATTGACAGCCTCTGGCCGTCAGGACTGTGGAGCTCATGTTCAGCTCTCCACCGCCTAGGAGCTCTAGGGTCTGCGTTTCCTGTGCCGGGTGGGAGGATCCGTGAGTCTCATCCCGAGCCCCCAAAGCACCCATGACCACCAGGCTCTATCCAAACTGGGAGGGTGGGAGAGTGGCAGGCAGTTGGAGTCAGCTGTGTTGCAGGGCCAGATTGGGGCTGGACTTCCAGGGAAGAGCAGAGACCCCCCTCAGGGAAGCCTTCCTAAGCCAGGCCAGTGGGAGGACAGAGGAGAGAATCGGACAGACATCCCCCTGAGGTTGGGCCCAAGAGCCAAGGAGGAAGAGGGGCTGGCACAGGAAGACATCTGGATGGGGTCCCTGACACCTACCTAGCATTCTCCTGCGGGCCCCACAGCCATCCTGAGCCAGAGGAGGAGCAGGCAGCACTATCTATAGGCCTTGGCCAGCTTGACCTTGTCCTGAGGATCCTCACTGCACTGGACCACTTCCCCCCAGCAGTCAGAGGCAGCCGCCACCATCTATCTCTAGGCTTAGCTGAGCCTGATGACCACCCAGTCAGTGGCCCCTGTGCCTGCCTACAAGGGCATCGTGTACTCTCCAGTGGGGCCAGGCAGTGCCAGGATCTTTTGCACTTGGGCCTAGTTCAGCCATCTGCCTGGCTGCTCTGTCCCCCAGGTCCGCTGAGCCAAATGTCAGCACCGAGTTGTGCCTCTGGCTGTGGGTGGTGGTGGACGAATGGGCTAAACACCGGCTTTGGACTTTTGGGAGAAAGAGGCTGTGGGTGGAAGCCCTGGGTATGTGGCTCTACAGGCCTAGATTTAAGGGGACCTCAAGGGAGAAGGTGGTACCCTGCCACTTTAAAAGCTGACCTTTGCCCCTCTTTGCCTGGCTCACTCTTCCCACACCTTCCAAACTAATCTGCCTGCTTCTGAGGAGTCCTGGCCACCCTCCTTTCACATTCCAATGGTGCCTACACTTGTGGCCTGCTCTGCCGACCCTGCCCAGTCACAGTTGTCCAGCAGGTCCCAGGATCCTCCCCACCAGCCCAGATTTCTCCTAGAGATCCAGGTCATCCTCACCTTCATTCCTGTGATGCTTTCTTTCCCCCCTGAAACAATGATCCCTGGATGTCACACCAGGCCGCAGCCTGGGACCCAGGGGTGGAGTGCTGAGCATGTAGGTTTCACTGTACCCTTGAGAAGCTCACAGCCTGGTCTGGTGGGGGAGATTTTAATCCACCAAGCACACATCAGCTGGACCCAGTAAGAACAAAGCTGGTAGCCCTGGTATGTGGGAGTGAGCCAACTGGGTGCCCTCCAGCTCTGTATGGGGCAGTCAGTGGCCTCTCAGGTTGTAGCCTCTGGACCACAGGTCACAGTTGCAGGCTCCCTCCAGGACCCATGCTTTCCCACTGTGGTCTGGGTAAGGCTTGGATTTGAGATTGGGCCCAGACCTGAACCAAGACTCCTAAACACTCTGGTCAGCCTGCAGCCTCCTCCTGATCAGGGCCAGGTAGTGGGAGGGAAGTTCATGGCAAACCCAGGTGACTCCCATGTGTTGATGCCTCACCTTTTCTGTCCCCAGGTGGGCACCTCTACTCCACAGGACGAGGGGTTACCAAGATGCCTATTTTGGAAGAAGTCTCCCATGAAGTAGCTGCAAAAACTCCCAGCAGTGAGGAGGAGTCTGTGAGTGACTTTTGGGGCTCTCTTTCCTCCCCTAGTGGCCAGTGGGCCTGGTCCCTCAGCTGTTATCTAGCTTATCTAGATTGTGTCTAGATTGAGCCTGCTGGAGCTGGGGACACTGTTGGCCACATTTGTTAATCCCAAGGCTGGGGAGAGCTGCCTCCCTGACCCCAGGTTCCAGTGGCTTTGAGCATGGTGCAGTAGCTCAGGGTGCAGCTGATTCCCTGTGCCACCCCGGCTGCTGTCACACTCAGACCTAGGGCATCACGCACCATCTTCTCCATTGGTCACAGGCAGTGCCTTCTCCCAGGTGGGAATCCTCCTGCCCATCCTGCCTAGCCTCAGAGATAGAGGTTGACACACATGCGGGCTCCTCATGCTGTCTCCCTCCGAAGCCTGCCCACCATCTCACCTCACAGACACCTACAAACCCACGAGGAGGGGACAGGAGCCAACAGGGAACAGTCTAGCTCACTGGGGTGCTGAGCAGGCTGCATGCTGCCCAGACCTGTCCTCTCCTGGTCCAACACCCCCACCTGCCAGAGCTGTGGAGACAGGATCGGACAGGTAGGGACTGTCACCCATGTCAGCATGTACTCACTCACCTTCTCATCTGCACTCAGGACACGGAGTGCCAGGGTGGGAGGTTCTGCTGCCTTTGGGAGACTCAGCCACGCCACAGAGGAGAGGCCTTGCAGCCCCTCTGTTTGCCAATATTGTATAATTTTGTTTTGTTTTGTGCTGAGATGGGCCTGGCTATGTAATCCAGGCTGGCCTCAACTCACTGCCAAGTGCTGGGATTACACGCGTGCATCACCACATCTGACCAACATCGTACAATTTAAGCAGTGATGTAAAAAGTCCTACTCTCTGATTGTTGGAGGCCAAATGAGGGAGAAGAAAAGGAGGAGTGGGGAGCAAGGGGGAAATGTAGGGGGAAAGACTCAGGAGGGGGAAGAAAACGGAGGTTGGATGCAGATTGATTTCAGCTCTTGGCTCTGCTGCCAGCTTGTCCCCTGGTGGGACTACTTCTGCCACTGTGTACCTCAGTTTCCTCGCCTGGCTCTGTGATCCCTAGATGAATGTACTGTCCGGAGGGCAGTGCAGTGCCCACCAGAAGGAAGCTGTGGGGCTCTCCCAAACCCAGCCGCATCTGGGCCCCTGAAAATCTGCCGGTTTAGGATTTCTTCTGGAGGCTGAAGCTGGAGTATCACAACATTTCACGTGCCTACTTGGGTCATGTTGTTTCTCTCGCTGGATTCCCTCTGAGACCCTCTCTGCTAGGAGTAGTTATGTCCCATGGTGAGGACTTGGAGAGCTTTTTAGAGGAAAGCAGCTACCCTCCCTGTTCATGGGGGAACAAAAACCCTGCCTGGGCTTCATAAGGAGGAGCTTGGGATGCCAGCGTCTCCCTTGGTGGAACCCAGCAAAGCTCTGATTGGCCGCCAGGGCAGCACTGACCTATGCCTCCCACATAGTCACCCTGGACTGCCCAGACCTCTTCCTCAGTGAGAGTGGATCGCTACCAACAGGGTCAGTAACAAGACTCTCGTCCATCCATCCATAAGGGTAGAAGCACCTTCCAGTAGGGTGTCACTGGGGTCCTATGGGAGCTAAGGGCTACCAACCTCTGACAAGGGGAGAAGCTGAAATACTGGCAAGGGAGAGGACTTGCCCAAGGTCAGCAGCACAGTCAGGCAGGAGCCAGGTGTGTCCGATGCCAACAGCCAGTTTTTCCTCTGCACACTGTGCCCTCCTGAGCCCCTAGCAGAGTGGGGGCAGTGACAGCAAACAGTAGAATCTTCATAATTCAGCTGGACTGAGCCCTAGAAATAGGCGCTGCGGGCCAGGGTTGGGACAGAGTGAGTCACACACTCACTGGGGACAGGCGATGGCCCTGCGTAAGGATAGTGAATGCCTGTGTTCTCTCCACCAGGGACTGCCCAAGCTGCCGGTGCCCCCCCTGCAGCAGACACTGGCCACCTACCTGCGGTGCATGCGGCACCTGGTGCCTGAGGAACAGTTCTGGAGAAGCCAGGCCATCGTGCAGAGGTTTGGGGCCCCTGGTGGTCTCGGCGAGACCCTGCAGCAGAAACTCTTGGAGCGGCAGGAGAAGACGGCCAACTGGGTGAGCACCAACAAGGGACTCCAAGGACAGGGGCAGGAGGCAGATGAGGGCACAGGCAGAGGGGTTCAGGTGGAACAGGTAGGTGACACAGGTAGAGCAGACCGAGGATGGGGACAGATGGAGACAGAAGGGTAGCATGGGCTGGGTGGACAAGGTGAGATTAAGGGGCAGCAAGGTGAGAGACAGGGCTGGGAAAGAGGCCAGACAGGTGGGGCCAGAGATGGGGACAGGCGGCAGACAGGACTGAGAGGGAGCTGGAATAGAAGAGGGCACGGGTAGAGGTAGGACAACAATGCGGGGAGGTGTTGTGGGGTGAAGGTGATGCACAGGCCTGGTGAACACAACCACAGTGCAGCACCGTTTGTGGCATGAGTGCACAAACCCAACCCCTCGGGGCCCAGGCTGGGACTGGTGGACCCCACTGGCAAGGCGCCCTCTGTTGGGAGTACAGCTGTCGGATAACAGGTCCCCTTCCTGTGCTTCTGCCAGGTGTCTGAGTACTGGCTGAATGACATGTATCTCAACAACCGCCTGGCCCTGCCAGTCAACTCCAGCCCAGCTGTGATCTTTGCTCGGCAGCCATTCCAGGACACCAGTGACCAGCTCAGGTGCGGGCCCTGGGTGGCTGGGTGGGTGGCTGGGACACACTGCTCCAGGGCCAAGCCTCTTGGGGAAGGTGTCCCCAGTGCCATCTGCAGCACTGTCAGGGCTGGCTGAGCCCAAGACAGTGATAGCAGGCAACTGGATGGGTGGAGTTGGCAGGCTCTGCTCTCAGACCTGGATGGGGCAGCCGTGGGGACATGAGAAGGAGGGCAGGCCATGGTGGCTGGAGGGAAGTGGCAGGGTCATCGGCCAGGAGTTCCCACACCTGCTCTTCACCAACCTTGCAGCCGCAGGCAGCCCTTTATCCGCAGTGAGATCGGCTGTGGATGGGTGCGTACAAGAAGGGCTCTCCAGCTGGCCTCCTCCCCCCCCGCCTTGCCATGAAGCCAGGCCTCACACAAACGGGGAGTGACATGTGCCCGGCAAAGCTCCCTGGGCCTCTTCCCCGGCACCACTTTCCCTTTCATTAGCGACTAAAGGGCAAATGATGGACTTTCCCAAGAGACAGGGTTCTCCAGAACTCCAGGGCCCCTGCCCCATCCAGCCCCTGTGCTGGCCTTTCCCAGGGAAAGCTCCGGCCCTTGTTATCCTTGCCTTTCCTGCAGCTTCTCCTGGTTCCTCTCTCTCCTTCTCTTCTTCTTCCTCCTGCAAATGATTCTGGTTTCCCCTCCTCCCTCCAGAGCTGCTCCACTCTGGTTCTCACCAAAGGAGCATTTAACCTACTGGGGGTGGGGCAGCAGGAGCCCCCTCCCATTATTTTTGGGGGGTGGTATATGGTGGGTGATGGCTGAATCTGGAGCAGAAGGGCGGAGAGAGCAAAATAAGAGGAAGGTAGGGAGGAGGAAGAAGGCAGGAAGGGAGGGAGGGAGGCTGGGAGGAAGGGAAGCAGAAGAGGCAGCTCAGGCCTGTTTGTCTCTGCAGGTTTGCAGCCAGCCTCATCTCAGGTGTGCTGAGCTACAAGGCCCTGCTGGACAGGTAGGCTAGCCCAGCCCAGAGGGTGGTGTCCTGAGTGTCAGAGCAAGGGAGCTTGGGAGGGCAGGGACCCCACTTTTTTCACTCCACATTCCTGGCTTGAGTCAGAGCTGGTGTCCCCTGCCTGCCTCCTATTCAGCATCAGGATGTCTGGTAGCCCATGGGCCTGACCTGGAAGGACTTTTCTTCCTCTGCCTTTGAAAATGCCCCTATCTCCCTATCTCTGTGCCCACAGAGGAGTGGGTCTGGCCAGGTGGACAAGTGGAGAAGGAGGAGGAGGAGGAGGAGGCAGTGTAAAGTGATGCTGGATTGTTCGAGTGGATTCAACTCTTGTCTTTACAATGCCTCCGGTTGAAGGGTTGGACCTGCAGCTGCTCTGAAAGGAGGGCAGGGCCCCAGATCCAAAGGGCACAGAGGCTGTGGGTCAGCAGACCTGGATCTGAATTCAGACCCTACAGCAGTGGGCATGTGGACCTTGGGTGAGGCCACTGAAGCTTTCAAGGGCTTTCACTGCACCCAGAGGGAAACTCCCACCCTACCCCTGCCACTGGGGTCTAGGACTGGCCTTGCCTGTCCCTCTTGCCTCCTCTCTACTCAACTTCTATCTCACCCATCTTCTTTCTGCCTTCAAGTGTGCTTCTCAAACTATCTCTGGAGGAGGACCACTTTTTAAAGAATTGCTGGAAAAATGTAATAAAGGCACCAATACAAGAGCACATGTTTATTATGGGATTCAGTAGACATAACATTCTTGCTACATTGCTGCATATGTTTCTGCCACTCATCCAGTCACGAGTCAGCCATGACAGTTGGGTTCAAAAGGCAGTGCATGGGACACTCCACCCCACCTACTCCCTTATAGTCTCTACCCTCCAGGCTCAACTCAGTCAAACAGACTCATTATGCCAACTCACACCATGTCCTCCCACTCCTGCTAGTTGCCCAGTACCACTGGCTGAAATTCTCCTCTTTATCAGTCTACTACTTGTGGTCTACTCCCCACCCATGTACCCCAAGACCCATCAGAGCAGGAAAGTCATATTTTGTCTGCCACTATATCCTCAAGCTCCAGCATGGTTTCTGCCCCATAGGAGGTGCTCAGCAAATATGTGTTGGCTTCTGAAAGGGAGAAATGATGGGTGGGTGAAAAGGGAGTAGTGGATGGATGGATGAATGGATGGATAGATAGACAGATGAGCAGATGAATGAGTGGGTGGTAACTGAGTGGATGGATGCATACTGAGTGGGTGATTGGGTGGATGGATGTGGATGAATGCATGAGTGTGTAGAAAAATGGGTGGATCAGTGGATGGATGGATGGATGGATGGATAGATGGGAAGATGGATGGTAGCTGGATGTATAGGAGACGGATGAATATATGGTGGCTAAATGGATGGATAGTGAGTTGATAGATGTGTGGTGGGCTGGTGGGTGAATGGATGGATGCACAGTAGATAGTTGTATGGTGGGTGTATGGACAGTACATGGATGGATGGATGCATGCACGCGTGCATGGTGGATACTTGGATGGAGAGGAGGGAAATGACAGACACAGTCATGCAGAGACCACAGTAGAAAGAGAATGTTCTGTCTTGAACTCAGAGGAGGCTTCTGGAGGAGAAAATGAGCAGGATCTTGAGGGAGAGAAGCAGAATAGTAGAATTCAGACAAGAGGTAAAAGAGTATCAAGCAAAGAGCAGCATTAGCAAAGGCACCAATAGCATTTTCACATGCAGTGCATGAGCTAGGTGAGGGTAGAGTAGTGGAGGTTTGGGAAAACCCTGAGGGTCTTCATGGGCCACAGAAGTAGGGTGTCCTGCTATTTCCAAACATAGAGGATTGAGTGCAGCAGCTGACATTATAAAGCAGGGCTGGGTTTGGTGCCCTGTTTTGCTTAACCAAGTTACAACAGAGTGCTGATCATGTACTTCATGTTAGAGCACTTCCTTGATATGCACAGTCCCTGAGTTTTATCTCCAACACCTGCCAGAGTTATGATAGAACTAATTCTGATGTCCTCTGTCCCTCTGCACCTTTCATGGCTACCTGCTTTCTTCCCCACCCCCAGCCACTCCATCCCCACAGACTGTGGCACAGGCCAGCTGTCAGGCCAGCCCCTCTGTACGAAGCAGTACTATGGGCTCTTCTCCTCCTACCGGCTCCCTGGCCATAGCCAGGATACACTGGTGGCCCAGAAGAGCAGTGTCATGCCTGAGCCCGAGCACGTCATTGTGGCCTGCTGCAACCAGGTAAGTGTCCCTTTATGGCTGCTGTACCCTCTTGGATTTGGGAGGATGTGTGGTCCGCAGTGCTAGGTGTGTTTGTTCACTCTTTCTCTGAAGGTGCCCAGCCACTTGCCGGAGTCACATAGTGAGCTGGGGCACAGTGGCCCCATCACTCTCTGTTTTCTTTTTTTTTTTTTTCTTTTTTCTTTTTGGTACTGGGGATCGAACTCGGGTCCTTGTGCTTGCAAGGCATGCCACCGAACCGTTGAGCTAAATCCCCAGCCCCAATTCCCTGTTTTCTTGATTAGGAATGGGGCAGTCACCATTAGTGGATCCTTGTCCCCACCGTGCCCTCTTTTCAGCACCCAGAGCCAGGTCAAGGTGGTCAGGAAGCCCAGCAGGGCCTCCGCTTCCACCTGCTCATTGAACTATTTCTGCACAGTCACCAGGGCTGACCCTTCCTGGAGATCACACACAGACACACAAACAGACAGTACTAAGGGGTAATGGACAAGACCCCCACACATGCTGGCTGGGGCCAGCACTCACCCTCAATTGTACCATTGAACTCTCACAGCGATATGCAGAAAAGCTGTCAGGTCTCCCTTCGATAGACAGGAAGTAGGGGGCCCCAGGCCTGGCCAGTGCCCCATAATCTTCAGATGGGTTCCATGGAGCTGGGAAGAGGTCCATGTGGGCTGCTGACCCTTTTCAGTTTCTGCTACACTGTGCTCTGTTTGTTGAAGCTTCACAAAATATTGCACTCATTGGAATTAATTTGAATGGAAGGCCCTTTTTTGCTTAAATTTTGTTTACATTGGTGCTTTTCACTAAACCCAAGTTTGATGACCATTTTGGAATCCCCTCACCTCTGCCCATGCTGTTCCAGTATTTTCTTCTTGGGCTCGAGTTTCACACATCCAGTAAATTGGCACTCAGTGGAAGTCTTCCCTCTGAGGGCAGCTGTGATCCCTGTCCCCAAGGCAGCCCCCTGACACCCAGCAGCAGCCACTCAAGGAAACCTTTCTCCTCACCAACAATTCAAACCCAGCACCTCTATCCTTAGTCCCAACCCCCCAATTCTAGCAACCACCTTGGGGCTCCTCTTCCCACTGGCCTGGGGACCCTGTGCAGAGTGGGTCAAGGATTCCTGTCCACCAGCTGGTGAGGACCCTCTGCCTTCATGCAGCCCAGGCTCTGGCCTTCGGAGATGCAGAATGTCAGCACTGTGCAGTTTACATGCAGAGCACTGTGACACACACAGGTGTGCATGTGGATGCAAAGAATGTTTCAAAAGCTGGTTTTCAGTCTTGTCCTGCACCTTGTCTGCTGGCTTGTTTTTCTCTCCACTCACCCATGTGTCCAAGGCTCAACCCTGTGGCTCCATGTGGAGTTGTCTTCCTAGTCCATGCTGCACTGAGTGAGGACGTGACTTTCCATGAACACATGACATTTTGTGTGGCCTTCCCCACCTGGAGGGAGGCTCCACTACTGTGTGGCGGACAGGTGCACATTCCTTCACATGCCTCCCAGGGTACACGGGATGTCTCTATGCCTTAGGCTAAACTCTGCTTGTGTAATACAACAGCTGAGCTGCAGATAGGCACATTTTTTGTTTGAGAGACACCATCCTCCAACAGCAGTTGTGCCAATTTACACCGCAGTGCCCCAAACACAATGGATTCACATGCACTAGGAGCCACACAGACTGTTTTTTTGTTTGTTTTGTTTTGTTTTGTTTTTCCCTGGGGAGGATGGGCTAAATTAATCTGGCCTCCTTTGAGGGCACAGTGTGAGTCCAGCACAGTCAACAGCATTGAGCTGGGATGCTGCGGCCCAGACATCCCCTGTCCTGGCCTCCCTAGGAAGGCTCACTGAAGGCCTGTGACCCCAGCTAGCTGTCCCACATGACTGCGGACCTGTGTCCCCACAGTTCTTTGTCTTGGATTTGGTCATCAACTTCCGCCGCCTCAGTGAGGGAGATCTGTTCACCCAGTTGAGGAAGATCATCAAGATGGCTTCCAATGAGAATGAGCGCTTGCCTCCCATCGGCCTTCTGACATCAGACGGGAGGAGTGAATGGGCAGAGGCAAGGACAGCCCTCGTGAAAGGTCAGCACCCACCTTGTTCCTCACATCTTTCCTGCTTAGGTGGGCAGCTGAACCAGAGGCCCTGTTGTACACTTGTGGTATTCGGTGATACTAGCCTTCCGGTGGGGCTAATGAGCCCTGAGATCATTCGGATGTCAGGATGCTGGGGAGGGGTTTTGAGCAGGAGGAAGGAACTGTGGTGACTGTGATTTACTGGTGTGATGCCTGTGTTCTTCTAGGGACTGAGACACTAGGAGTGCAGTTGGATTGGGCTTCAGGGTGGAGCCAGCTCTGGGAGGTGCACGGCTCCTTCATCTGATTTCTTGTCCTCTTCAAGTCATCCCCATCTTCCAGGTGCCCCCTGCTCCATGAAAACATCCACACATTCCCATAAAAAAAGCTGGTAACAGCCTTGAAATATTCTGACAGTCCTCTAGAAATTGCTTTTCAGACCAAAGCCAGCCCGAGTTGGAGCTTGGGGGACCCGAGTGCCCAGGACTGCCACATTTACCTGTATAAGGCAGTAGGGACAGACTACAGGTGCCCAGTCAGTGCTCCAGGACTGCAGGGAGGGAAGGAAGACCTGTTCCAGGAGGCATATCAGCCAGGGGGTAAGGATGGCATCCGGGCAGATGGACAAATGTGGGCAAAGGTGCCACACAGCAGGGATGTACTTGTCACTGCCTGGGGACCACAAGGAGAGTGGCTGCTGGCAGAGACGGCTGGAAGACACACCCTGGCCCCTCCCTCTCTGATACCTGTTACAGGTATCAGAGCCTTCTCTCTAGAAGGCCCTTTTCTACCATCCTGAAGAGCTCAAGAACCTGCCTCCTGGCACCACCCTCATCTGGGTCTGGTGTCACTGGCATTCTGAGGGCTGCTTTGCTCACATTTGTCCAATGAATTCAAATTGGAATTCAAAGTTTAGGGCCACGTCTGTGTTATTAGATTTTTCTGGTGCTGAGGATGGAACCCAGGGCCTCACTCTGATGGGCAAGCACTCAGTACTGAGCTGCAGGCCAGTCCTGCTCTTTTTCCAAATCCACTGAGCAACAGTGGCTGCCCAGTTGAGTTCAGTAAGTAAACGAATGGAGGGTGAATCAGGTGTCAGCCATGGATATACTTCCTCCTTACCAATGAACTAGTCTCTCATCCAATTATCGGGCACCTGCTGAATGCTTTTCTAAACAGAGAACTGCAGGGGCCGCCAGGCAGTGTGAGTGGACTCTTCTGGACCTGACCACTGTGTCTGGGATTAATCACCTACCATTCGAGAGTGAGTTAATTCCCGCAGGGGACTGCAGTGAAATCACATCCCTGCCTCACCCCTCCAGGGACAAGGCAGGCTTCAAAATAATCGCCTCTGTTTCCAGCCTGCTTTCCACTTTATTAGGAGCCCATGCCCTCAACACTATGACACTGACAGGGATTGCCTGGAGGTCTGAGTGCTTGGGCTGCACTCATTGGAATTAATTTGTTAATGGCTCTTGAGCTGGTGTCTGAATGGAAGAGCTGTTTCTGAGGGAGAGGAGTGAACACATTCGACCTCCTGGGCAAGCGGGCTGATCCACTTAGCACCCCTGACTGATCCACTGCTCCCTGGAGAGTCCCTGCACTATGCCCACGGGGGGGACAAAGGGCAACCCTTGCTGTACATTTCCATTTCAGAGTGGAAGACCACGGTAGTGTGAATAGGGTTGGCAGGGAGAGTGAGGTATAAGTACAGGTGGATCTGGGTGTAGTGCAAAGCCTTGAGAAGGGAAAAGAAGGGGAGTATGGAAGAAAGAGAGAGAGAAATTGCTGGAGTTTGGCCACTGAGTGGTGGGTGGGGCGCTGTTTGTGGAGCCAGGGGGACAGTGTGCAGTGGGTGCGATGTCTGGTGTGTGACTTGTGGAGTGATCCCATGGAGATGTCAAGTTAGATGTATGTGCTGTGGCCCAAGGAGAGGCCAGTGCAGAGATAAATTTGAGAGCCATCAGCACCTAAATGACATTTCCAGTCATGGACCTGAGTGAGATCATCTAGAAATAGGAGAGCAGGTCCTGGAGGTCAGGGAGAGAAAGATGCAAAGGCGACTGAGAAACAGCAGTTCATGGAGCAAAGGAAAATGAGGAGCCACAGCTTCTAGAGGGGCAGCAGAGAGGATGGCTGGTGTGACAGATTGATGGGACAGGCTAGGGTGCGAGCGGCTGGATGGAGCAGCAGGAAGGAGGAGTGGCTCTGTGTGGACAGGCTGCCCAACAGCAGAACAAAGTTACCCACGAGGCACTCAGTGTGCAGAGCCAGCAAGGGTGGGTGGCTATTGAGATATTTGGGTATTAATGGAATGAGAAAATGCGTAACTTCTGGAAGAGAGTGAGGGTCCAGAAAGTGTTTCCGGTAGGAGAGGCAATTGCAGGAGTGTAGACAGTGCAAGGAAGGGATTCAGCCAGAGGGAGGTTAAACAGGAGTCAGGAGTGAATGCAATGGCTAAGTAAAGAGCAAAAAACCCATTCTTGTACTGGAAAACAGGAACCAGGGCTCCAGGGTGATGGGAAGGAATATGCAGAGGCTCTTGCCCTCAGCAGTTCCTGGCTGCAGAGCAGCAGAGACAAGTACGGTGGAGTGGGCAGTAATGTGGGAGCTGGTGTAGTGCAGCAGCTGGGACAGTGCCCTGGGGGTCAGAGTTGTGAGGCTCCAGATGCAAAGGGAAGGGATAAGGGAGGAAGAATTGCTCAGGAGCGGGAATAGGGCAGAGCGGCTCCCCCACCAACTTGGGCTGCATGAGTGTGAAACAAAACCATGTCCTAAGAGGGCTGCAGGGACTGGGCCGCAGGAGAACATACTCAGATGAGCTCATGCAGAGGAGCTGACCATGCGGGGAGTTGGTGGGTACAAGGGTCCAAGGCAGGTGGTGCAGAGCTGGGGAGGAAGGAGGGAGGTGATGAGGAGTAGGAGGGCCAGGGATACAGTGAGCACTGCCAGCGATGTCCCCGCTAGGCCGTGGATTCAGGGAAGCTGCTCCTGGCTCCCGGCCGGCCGGGGCTGGCACTAGTCACAGGGCCTGGGTTCCCTCTGTCCTGAAGCAGTACCTGCATCACCATCAGGGAATGGGTGTGCTGAGGTCACTGCCACCTTCCTCCCTTCCTCCATCCCTCCTCCCTAGGACCTGAGCACTGGTCCAGTGGGCGCTGTCCTGAAGGAGGCCTTGGCAAGGCAACCTCCTTTCACCCTGGGGAGGCCTGGTCCTGTCTGCACTGACCCTTCATGTATCCACAGTCTCCCGAAAGACACTATCCAGCCCCACCACCAACCCCGATTCAGACACCTCTACCTCGGAGTTCTCGGGCTGCCTACCTGGCTTTCTGCCCTGACACTGAAAGGTGAAGCCTATGGAGGTCCAGGGGCAGCATAGCCTGCTCGCGGGAGCAGGGCTGCGTGCTGCTCCACCCATGCCCTTCAGCCTGCGCCCCACGGCTCACCGGCTCACCGGGAGCTTTTGGGACCACGGTGCCAGGGGGTATGGCAGCATTTCAGATGGAGTCCTGGTGGTGGTCACAGCCTGGGTGGGTGGAGGGCAATGTGACTCAGCCCTGGCTGCAGACAGGGTTGGCTGATGACATCAGCCTCATCTGGAGCATTCTTTTAAAGACAGGACAGACGCCTGTGCCCCAGTGATTTTCCGGGGTCTAGGAGAGGGGTTGGGGAGTCTATTTATAAGATGCCCTGAAAGTTTCCTGTGCCAACTCACTCGTGGTTCAGAGGACCCCGCTGCTCCTCGTACATGGCCCTTTGGGTCTTCAGTCTTCGTGGTGCCTGTGAGATGGAGATCTCATCCCCTTGAGCAGAGATGGCAGCTGTGTCCCCACCTTTCGCAGTGCCCCACCTTTGAGGTGTTCCGGAGCAAGGGCACCCGACTTCCTGCCTGGGCGAGGCAGCTGGGGGTGGGGGTGGGGGTGGCGCACATCTCTCAGGACCTCCCTTCCCATCTAGCCGTGAATCCGTGGCCTTCCTGAACCCAGAAGGAGCTAACACCGTTATCCTGGTCTGGAAATTTAATTAGCAGTTCGGCCCTGAGTCTGGAAGACGGCAGCGCTTGTCAATTTGTAGGAAAAGGATGGCTAGCTTGGAGGCCCCCCGAGCTGCTGGCTTTCCTGGGGGCTGTGAAGAGACTCTGCGAACAGACCACGCGGGCAGATGCTCTTTGTTTACACAGCACCATAAATATTTATCCCCAGCAGCCAATTAGAGCTCTGCTGCTGCTTCCAAGGAGGGAAGGGACAACAGCTGCAGACACCATGGTCACCGTCACGGCTTACAGGAACCTCTCAGGATGGGGGCATTCGGCTGTTTAAATACTGAGCTAGGCATCCAAAACTAGGCAAGTCTGCTGATTTTAAAACCAATTACACATTAGCAGTAACAGCCTCTCTGATTTAATTGACCCAGAAATACCTCCCATGTTCCTGGCTGAATAAGATTTCCTTTCTCTGGGTAGGGCCTGGGGCCACTTCTCCCCCAGAAACGTGGGCCCCTTCATGGACCAGGGTATCCAGACAGAGAGGCCTGGCCATGCCCTGCCCTTCTGTGTCCCTGTAGCTTGGCTTCCTGGTGAGTAGGATGAGGGCACTGCAGCTGAGCAGATGGCCTGGGGCCTGGCGTGCCGAGGGTGTTCACCCATGATAGCTCTTATTAGATCTGGAGAAGCTCTCTGGGGACACTTTGCCCAAGGCACAGCCTCCTGGAAAATGCTGGTGAACTTGAAAATCGGTAGCTGCTAGATGGGCACTGCCAAGGCTGATGGTCTCTATTCCTTTCCTAACTTCATGAGAGGCCTTCTCCCCAGCTTCGTACATGAATGCCCCTAAACTCTTGAGATTATCTGCCTTTTGGAAGTACGGTTGGAACAGAAGAAAGGGTGCTTTGTGGTTCTTGGGTTCTTTTTTTTAATCAAGTTAAATATATTTGGGGATCACTGCAGCTGCAAATGCATTCGTAAGAAATAATACAGAGAGAGCTCACATGTTCCTGTTTCTCTTCAA